AAGAGTATTTGGCCTTTGGTTTTGGCTTATGTTACTTAGTATGACAGATTCCAGTTCCATCCATTTACCTGGAAAATGCCATAATTTTATTCTTTTTTTTAATAAATATATATTTTTTAGTTGCCAATGGACTTTTATTTATTTATACGTGGCGCTGAGAATCGAACCCAGTGCTTCACACTGGCTAAGCAAGCACTCTACCAATGAGCTATAACCCCAGCCCCAATTTCATTCTTTTTTATCCCCAGCCCCCTTATGTTATATAAATTTTTGACTGGATCTTGCTAAGTTGCTGAGGCTGGCTTTTTTTTTAAATTTTTTATTTATTTTTTAGTTTTCAGCAGACACAACATCTTTGTTTGTATGTGGTGCTGAGGATCGAACCTGGGCCGCACACATGCCAGGGGAGTGTGTTACTGCTTGAGCCACATCCCTAGCCCCGTGAGGCTGGCTTTGAACTTGAGGTCCTTCTGCCTCAGCTTCCCGAATTGCTGGGATTATAGACATGCACCACTATGCCTGAATTTTATTTATTATTATTATTTTAAAAATATTTTTTAGTTGTTGATGTACCTTTATTTTTTATTTATTTATATGTGGTGCTGAGGATCAAACTTACTGCCTCACACATGCCAGGCAAGTGCTCTTCCACTGAGCCACAACCCCAGACCCTTTATTTATTATTATTATTTTTTAAATGTTTATTTATGTATCTTTAGTTTTAGGTAGACACATTATTTTGTTTTTTTATGTGGTGCTGAGGATCAAACCCAGTGCCTCAGGCATGCTAGGCGAGCACTCTACCAACGAGCACAACCCCAGCCCTTTACTTATTATTTTGATATAGGGTCTCACTAAGTTCCCTGGGATGGTCTTGGGCTTGTGATCCTCCCGCCTCAGCCTCCTGAGTAGCTAGGATTACCAGCATGCACCACTGTGCCTGGCTGCCTGGCAATCCTCTTTATAAAGGCTTGTTTGGGTCTTGTTTCACATACCTCAGAATCTGGAGTTGAGAGTATTGCTCTCTGAGACTGCTGCAGATAGACCATTATTCTCCCTTCATTCTTCAAAATCTCCTGCTCCTTCCAAGTTCTATCTTGAAGAGTTTGGGCATTCACCCACGTGCACTGATAATTATAGCACCTGGCTCATTATCTTCCTTTTTACACCTATTTTCCTATCATCATTGTTGTTGACTTCAAAATCCCTGAGAGTTGGTGGGCAAATGGCATCCACCTGCAGTCCCGGCTACTTGGGAGGCTGAGGCAAGGAGATTTGCTAGAGCCCAGAAGTTTGAGGCCAGCCTGCACAACTAGTGAGACCTGTTTCAAAAACCAAACCAAATCAAACCAAACCAAACCCCTCTGGGTAATCCATCTAACTGTAGCTTCTCAACCTCTCAGTCTTATCTCTAATGATCTTTCTCTTCAGCCCTTCCTTAGGCCCCTAAGGCCCCTAAATGATTTTGTTATTTTACCCAACAACCTCTCATGACTACCTCCTGGTTTTCTAGTTTATTTACTAATGTTTTCCCTACTCCTTTCACCTCATGGAGACTTTTAAAACATTGACCCTACAGTTTTCACTATCCACCAACCCTTTTTTGTGTTTATTCCTCTTCTTACCCTATTCATATCATGATCTAATATATAATCACTCTCTTCTCTCTCTTTTTTTTTTTTTTTAGAAAAACCCAACCATGATATATTCTGCCAATCCAATTCATGTGGGTCCAGCTATTTATTTCAAGGCTACTAGAGAAAGAGGAAAAAAAAAAAAGAAAAAAGAAACAAAACTGATGCTCAGTGGTGTCATAAATTGATGGTTCTTAACTGGGACAAATCAAATTTCGCTCCTCTTTTCCCTAGGACATTTGGCAATGTCTGGAGACATTTTCAATTGTGGCACTAGGGTGTGAGGGAATGTTCTACTACATCTAATTGAAAGATGTCAGGAATGCTGCTAACTATCCTAGAATGTGCAGGACAACAAAGAATTATCTGACTCCAAATGTCAATAATGCCAAGGTTAAGAAATCCTGCTTTAAATTAGTGATGACAAGTCTCAAAGGGACAATTGACAGAGAGCCTCTGCACTTGCTCTTTTTACTGCTTATAATATGATTCCCTCCTGGTTGGCTCATTATTTAAAAGTAATTTCTTCAGAAAGTTTTTCTGACCTCCCTTGAGACTGGACCCAGCCTCATGACATTACCCTGTTTCATTGCCTTCAAAACATTTACCATTTTATGTCTTTATTACTTGCTTCCTTCTAGAGAATGAGTTACATGAATATAGTGTCCTTATCTCTTTTGTTCATTGCTGTATCCCTATGGTCAAGTATAGTGCCTGACACACATGACAGACATTCAGAAAGTAGTTATTGAACAGTGGGTGAAATATTATTTATTTGAAATTTATTCATTCATTTATCAAATATTCATTGGTGATAAAATCCAGACACATCTGTAACCTCATGGAATTTACCATACAATAGGGAGACCCATATTGAATCAATAAGCACACAAAATAGTTTCAGACTATGATAAGGCTTTGAAAAAAAGTGACGTAGCCATGAGAATATTGAGCAGTCTGGGGTGGGGCAATCAGGCCAGTCTTCCTAGAAGTGATATTTGAGCTGATAGCTGAAGAATGAATCAGTTAGCTGGGTAGAGGAAAGAGGGTGGGGGTAGATGGAGAAGAGTATTCAGACATAGAGAACAGAGTGTTCAAAGATGCTTTACTGAACCAGAAGTTATATAGTACATTTCACCAACAGAGAGAAGTCCAGTGTTGGCTGAGGCACAGAGCCAGGTAAGCCATGGTATGGCATTTACTTCTATGAGCACAGGAGTGCCACTAAAATATTTTAAAAAGAAAACAACACATCTAATTTCGTAAACAAAGATCACTCCGGGGAACAGATTTTAGAAGGACAAGAGTGAAGATGGGGAGATTGGGTGTGAGGTAGTTACAGTGTCCAGATTACCCTGTAGTGGTGGCAGTGAGCTTGGAGAGGTGTTAGATACACTCAAGCAAAGGGGAACATGGACTTTTAGAGCTGGAAGGAACCTGTTAAAAAGAATCTCACCACTAATCAAAAATTACAATAAATATGAATGACAAAGAGTTCATGAAGGTCTGCATTTTATACAAAAGCAGATTAGTGAGCTTAACAAGAGTGTTCTTTAATGTTCATTGAATAAATCAAGGAAAGATTTACAGACAAATGTTTGAGAAGAATATAGATGGAAGATATGAGGAAACAGATGAAAAAATGAAGAGAGGAAAATGTAATGAGAGAGCCAGATTAAGAAAGGGGTATGAAAGGTGCAAGGAGGTTGGAAGAGAGGTAGACTGGGAGACAACAGCAAGAAAAAGGGGTGGAGAGGCAGTAATGTGCACAAAGGAGATGAAAAGGGCTGGGCTCCAAAGGATTGGAGATTGGGTACAATGGTAAACTAACAGGGAGGGAGTGAAACAGGAAACTACAAAATGGAAAAGGCAAGAAGGGGGAGATGATCAAAGAGAGGAATGAGCAGATGATTGGAAGAGATGTTGGGAGGAAGGATGGGGCAGAAGCTTGGAGAGAGTGAGAAAGAATGTGAGGGTGAGGTGGAAGAATGAGGGTGGAATCAAAGGCCACTTTGGAGAGCCAGATGTTGGGGAGGACAGAATGGTGAGGGGATGGTAGAGTGACACAAACAGTTCCGCCCAGGATAAGAACAAGGGAGAGAAATGTGCTAGCCGTGGGAGGGGGTGAGGAAAGTGGAGGGTAAATTTGAAAAGACTCCAAGGGAAGGGAATGATGGGTGTAGCCGAGATTCTGATCTAGGCTTACCCTTCTCCCCACCCTCTGCAGGCTCATCTCAGTGGTTTCTGCCCTCTGCCAGGAGCCTTGATGTTGGAGGGGATACTGACAGGCTCAGGCATTAAGTATGTCAAGGATTGGAACAGAGGACCAGGAAGTGGGGTTACTGGAGAGCCGTGCCCAGAAGCTCGCTGACTATAGGAGGGCCTAGCTAGAGGGTGCCGGCAGTAAAGGGGAGGGGTCCTGGGGAGATGTCACTGGGAGTGGAAACTTCAAGAAGTCTGCAGCAATGGGTGATTTTCCGGGATTGGGTCAGGGCCCATTGAAGGTGGAGACAAAAGAAAGAGGAGAAGATCGAAGGGTGGAGTCGAAAGGCGGGCTGGACGAAGAACACTTGGGGCATAAACCTGCAGGGAAAAGGTGGCGCCGAGCCTTTCCAGGGGCGTCTCCCCAGATCTGGCTCCGCAGCTTCCCAAGCGCACCTGTTGAGAAGAAGGGAAGGAAGGGGTACCCTGGTGCGAGTGGGAAATCCAGTCTGGAGGGGCTGACTGGGAGTTTCAGACTCCTGAGAAGACGTTGCCACCTGTAGTTAAAGCCCGGCAAGTGGAGGGGCGTGACCCTGGTGCTCAGGTTTCTTCCTCTTCACCTGGGCAAGGAGGGGTGGGGGCCAGGACTTCCGGTTCAGGTGAGTGTCCCTTCAGTGACGTCAGGTCACCCTCGGCTGCCCCTCTGGTCCCGCCCCCCCTCCCGCGCTCCCGGTCCGCGGGGGCGCGTCCCCGACTCCCTACATATACTCAGGTGCGCAGCGCACCTGTCCGCCCGCACCTGCCCGCTCACTGCCCGGCAACCTTTCCTGCGCAGCGAATCCCTGGACCGATAGGCCTAATACTTTCTGGGAACCGCACCCAAACGGCCCCTCTACCTTTTGTTTGGTAGGGTTCGTTGAGAGCGCCGGAGAGAACCGCCTGACCTTCGGGGACTGCTTTTGTCTGAAACCAGATCTTCGGGCATAGCCTGTTCCCTCTGCTGAGACCGTCACTCCACCCGAGGGGTCGATTTGTGTTTACTTCGGGTGACAAGAAGATTTGAAGTCATCCGGTCAAAAACATTTTTGCTTCTTTGGGTGACTTAAAACACCACCCCAAGTTGTCTTGTTGGGTTGACCCCCGGATTCGGTTTGTCTCGTAGGGTCGCCAGTCCGGCGTCCCGTATTTTTTGAGGGCGGAAATGGCCAATTCAGGCCTGCAGTTGTTGGGCTTTTCCATGGCAATGCTGGGTTGGGTGGGCCTGGTGGCAAGCACCGCCATCCCGCAATGGCAGATGAGTTCGTACGCAGGCGACAACATTATCACGGCCCAGGCCATGTACAAGGGGCTGTGGATGGATTGCGTTACACAAAGCACCGGCATGATGAGCTGCAAAATGTACGACTCGGTGCTTGCTCTGCCGGGTAAGGCCGCGGGACCGACGGGGCGGACGCGCGCAGGGCCGAGATGGTGGGGCGGGGTGTGGGCAGGGCCGAGGTCCCCCGGCCAGGCGCCTTGATTGCCAGGGACAGGAGGAAGTCGAAGTGGTCTTGCTGGGGCAATGGGGCTGGGCTGGGGCGAGCCGGGGTTCTGATGGACGCACGTGGGCTGATACCCCTGCAACCTGCGCTCTTCCTCGAATGCCCCCACAAGCCTCCACCTGGGCTTGGGCAAGTGAGTCCTAAGCCTGGGTCGTCATCTCCCCACCGCCCTGGGCCAGCCAAGGCCTCCGTGTTATCCGGCCCTTTTAGTTTGGACAAAAGGGGGTCGGGGCTGAGGCTGTACGGAGGGCTGCGCAGCTGGGCAGTTTGTCAGACGTGGGCGGCCACCTTCGGCCTCTAATCTTATCCGACGATTAGCCGAAGCCGCAGGCCCGTGGCCCCGAAGGCGGGACCAGGGCTGGGACGCGCATCAGGATGTTCAGCCTATGCCCAGGTTCTGGCTGCCCCCTTTTACCCTTCCCCCTACTCGGAGCAGTTTCATCGAAACCCTGGCGCCCCGGGCGGGTTTCTCAGCAGAAAGGGCGGGGCGCGAGCTGGAAGGCTACGTTGTCCCGAGGGTGTGGGAGCCTGCCCGCTGGAGGTAGGGCCTTAGACATCTAAGGGCGTCAGAATCTAGCGACCGCTAGACGCGGGTTCAGGGAATAGTGGGTGCGGCCCGCCCCGCCAAGACTGCCAGCCATTTCCAGCAATGACGGCGTCTTTTCTCCTCTGCAGCGGCCATGCAGGCCACTCGAGCCCTCATGGTGTTATCCTTGGTGCTGGGCTTCCTCGCTATGTTTGTGGCCACGATGGGTATGAAGTGCACACGCTGTGGGGGAGACGATAAAGTAAAAAAGGCCCGTATAGCTATGACTGGAGGCATCATTTTCATCGTAGCAGGTGAGTCATAGGTCCAAAGGCAGCTCTCCTCTCGCCCTTGTGGGAGGTGGTTGGAGAAGGTGCTGGTTTGGACCCTCACAATATTGGAATACTTATTCTCTCTCCAGGTCTTGCAGCCTTGGTAGCATGCTCCTGGTATGGTCATCAGATTGTCACAGACTTTTATAACCCCACCGTCCCTGTGAATTTTAAGTAAGTCTGGGATCCCTGTCTAAGAAGCAAATATGGGTTCTTGGGATAGGAAGGCAGAGGCAGGCCAGGTTTCTGATCTCAATCCTTTCTCTCCACAGGTATGAGTTTGGTTCTGCCATCTTTATTGGCTGGGCAGGGTCTGCTCTGGTCCTCCTAGGAGGTGCACTGCTCTCTTGCTCCTGTCCTGGACAGGAGAGCAAAGCTGTGTACCGTGCACCACGCTCCTACCCTAAGTCCAACTCTGCCAAGGAGTATGTGTGAGGTGGGACTCCCATGCCCCAGCCTGACAAACTGTGGGCATGCCCAAATGACTCAAAGGACCCAGGGCAGAGGATTCAGCCTGTGGGCAGAGTGCAGGACAAAGGCCTCCTGGTCACTCCATCCCTGTACACCATGTACAGTCCTCTGGGGGGGAGGGGGTTGGGTAGGAGACAAAAAGTGGGGAGAGTGTGCTTTTTGTACAGTAATAAAAAATACGTTTTGGAAAGTAGGCTTTTTCTTTTCTTTCTGTGCCTGATTCTTCCCACTCAGATCCTTGGAGGGAGCTTGGTACCTAAAGTACATTTACTTCAATTCAAACCCTTGTAGAGGACCAGTTGTGTGCCAGGCCACTCTTGCTCATTTAATTTTCATCGTGACTCAGACCCAATGCTTAGACTGGACTCCAAAGACTCAAGAGCTTGGCTTTCCTCATTCACTCTCACTGCCCACCACTCATTTCCTTTTTATCAACAACAAAAAAAATTAATAAAAGATTTTATTAGGTATGGGGGGGGGGGTTGTTCCTATTTCCTCACCTTATGCTATCTCTTCATCCCACTTTCTGTTCTGATCGGATACTGCTTCCTACCTCATAGGGTAGGACCTCCATAGACAAAGGAACAAAGGCAGTACAGAAACTGGGACCACAGTCCTCCCACTCCCACCCATTTCCATTAGTGTAGTCAAGTCTGGCCAGTCAAATATCAAGGTCATCATCTGGGTCTTCTTGGTCTAGGTCATCATAAGCATCTGGCTCATAGAAGATGTGGCTGGTAGCCTGGCCTGGCGCAGGACGCAGTAGAACCTGCTGTCTGAGGGAGAATTGGTGCTAGTGAGGTGGTTATTAGGTCAAGTCTGGATACCCCCTTAGAGGTGCCTGTGACTCACTTAGGCAACCCAAACTAGGCTTGTGTCATTTTCTTGGTCCCAGTTCCTCCTCTGACCTCCAAAATTATTTAGGGCTAAGAAAGAACCAGTTGACCTTGGCATAAGTACTACTCTTATTTAATAAAGCTCTGTTCTTAGCAGCTTGAGGGGAAGGATTCTGCAGCGGTCTTGCTTCATCCACCCACACACTGGGCTCAGACAAGAGGCACCTACCAAGCCCTTGTTAACCAGCCTTTGCCACACCCATGCATCTTCCTGTCCTATGTCCTAGCACTGCTGGCAGGAGAATAAAGTTACCTCTTAGGGTTTGCTCTGGCTCAGCCCAGAGCAAGATTACTCTGGGGACAATTACGAAGGTAGAACCCATCCATAGCTGAAATGGAGATAAAAGACAGGAAGACCCTCCGCCATTATGGGAGATATGGGTGGGTACAGAACCACTCCCCAGGCTTATATCTGGAAGTGGACTTTAGCTCCTATAAAGTCTGAGAGGTTAATCAATAACCTGTCTTCACCCCACCTCAGATGCTGGGGATCCAAGCACTTAGGTTCCAGCCTTACTTTTCAGAACTGAACTGGAAGGGCAGAATCAGGCTATCCTTGGCTTCTCTTTCTTCCTTGGACAGGTGAAGGTTAAAGGTCAAATGAGTCGTGGGGTCCACCTGCAGGTAAAAAGATACTGCCACTTGGCCTCATTCCTGAATCCTTGACTCCACTCCCAACCTCTGCAGTTTTATTCTACTTTTGCCAGATCCCAAGCTTTTAGGTACCAGAGCTGTATGAGGATCTGGGTGGTGCTGGGACCCTAGGGGAGGCCCCTCCTGGAGGTCGAGGCTAAAGTCAGGAAGGATGGAAAACCACGAAGTCTAAGGAGAATAAAGAAGAGAGTTAAAAAGGGTTTTTTTTTTTTTTCATCCCACTGAACAAACTAGAGAATTCAGGACCTCTCACCTCAGCCCCCAATCACCTGAACACATTGTTTTCAGCCCTAGCCTTCCTTTTAAGTCTCTCCCTACAGACTTGTTCCTCCTTCCCACTAATAACTATTCTAGTCTTTTTTTAAAAAATCTTTTTCTAGGGCTAGGGATGTAACTTAGTAGTACAGTGCTTGCCTACCAAAGTGCAAGGCACTGGGTTCGACCTGTCTGTCTCTCTAACACACACAACCAACAAAATAAAACAGGAAAGTATTAAAAAAAAATTTTTTTTTAAATTATTCTTTCCATCATGCCAACCCTTTTTCTGACTCTAATTTCTAGTTGTTCTTGTTGCTTCTCCTAACCTGATAAGTTGGGCGCTGTTGGGGCTTCCGAAAGAGGACATGGGCTGAGGCTTGGCCCATTAAACCACCCAGAATCACCTCAGTCTGGGTAAGACTGCTCAGTGCTCCCACAAGGCCTGGGCCATGAAGTTCTTCATGTAGCAGGCCCAATACATGCACCTGCTTTACTGGGGAACTATCACCTGGAGAGAAAAGGAAATGCAGGGCATGAAGGAAAGTAGTGAACATTTAGGGTTGAGGTGAGGTAGCAAATACTGAAGAAAAGGAAGGAGAGGCCCACATTCCATCAGAGTTCTGCCACAGTCCTGACTTACCCTAGCCAATCTCACTGCTTAGCTATGAGCCCCTACACTCTACCGCTCAGTTATACCCCTGGCCCTTTTTTATTTTGAGACAAGGTCTAAGTTGCTCAGGCTGGCCTTCAACTTGAGATCCTCCCGTCTCAGTTTCCCATGCACTGGGATCGCAGGGGAGCCATAGGGATTATAAGCATGCACCAGTGTACCCAGCTTCTTGTCATACATATTCTTACTCCAGTGCAAATTTGATCAAGGGACCACTGACTCTGGCCGCTCCTCATGGTCTTCAGGATGGAATAAACATTTTTGGCTCCTGATAGCCACAAACTTTTCAGTTTCATCTCTTACACAATGTACTGCTTGCAGTTTTTTGTAATTTCCTAAGATCTTAGGGCCTCCTTTCTTTCCCTTTTTGGGAGGATTAAGAGTGTTGGGCTCTGCACTAAACATTAACACAACATTTTAGTTTTTACAGAGGTCAGCAATTTTAGATCAAGCCATATGGCAATTTCAAGTGTTTTTTTTTTATCACCATCGTATCCCCCACTTTTTTTTTTTAAACAGAGAAAACTGAAGTGCTGAGAGATCAAGCACTTTAATACAAAGTTAGGTGTGTCTAACTCGAAATCTCATTCTAATATCCACAGTGTACTTTAGGGCTAGTCCCAATGTTCCTGACTCTTGGGCCAAATCTGTCTGACTAAGCCTTGCTCTTCAGGATGGTTCCTTCTTTAAGGTACCCTGTACATATATTCCTAAATCATTCTAGTCTTTATCAGACTACCTTGTATACTTATCTGCATAAGAATTTGAGCTCCCAGGGAGCAAGGACCCAACTACAAAGTTAGACTTTATTTTTCCATTATTGAACCTTATATGTTGTATGTATTTAATGTTTGTTAAGTGAATGAATAAAAATAAATGCTAAAAAAAAAAAATGACTTGGGTTGTAGCTCAGAGGTAGAGCACTTGCCTAGCATGGGTAAGGCACTGGGTTCGATTCTCAGCACTGCATATAAACAAACAAACAAATAAATAAAATGTCTATCAATAACTTAAAAAAAGGTTATAGAGGGGCTGGGTTGTGGCTCAGGGATAGTGCACTTGCCTAGCACATGTAAGGCACTGAGTTCGATCCTGCACACCACATTAAAAAAAATAATAAAGCCATACATATAAAAGAGATTATAGGGCTGGGGATGTGGCTCAAGAGGTAGCGCGCTCGCCTGGCATGCGTGCGGCCCGGGTTCGATCCTCAGCACCACATACAAACAAAGATGTTGTGTCCCCCGAAAACTAAAAACTATTTATTTGTTTTTATCAAAAAATTCCCCCTCTCTCTCTTTAAAAAAAAAAAAAGAAAAGAGAGATTATAGTCAAAAATTCTGGGTGTGATGGGGTACACCCGCAATTCCAGCAACTCTGGAGGCTGAGGAAAGAGGATTGCAAGCTCAAGACTAGCCTTAGCATCTTCTCTGTCCCACAATAAAAATAAAAAAGGGCTATGAATGGTTAAGCATCCCTGGGTTCAATCCCTGGTACAAAAAACTAAAAACAATAACAACAACAAACTTGCCCCAAAAGGTTGAAGATGTAAGAAAGTCTTTGGAGACAACTGATGCTGATGCTGGATTTTTTTTTCCTGGTGGAACTGCGGCTTGAACCCAGGGGGGCATTATACCACCAACCTACATCCCCAACCCTTTTTTGAGACAGGATCTTACTGAAACTTGTGATCCTTCTGCCTCTGCCTCCCAAGTTCCTGAGTCTTGATGCTGATTCTTAGGTTGGAAAAGGGAATATTGCCTTCCAGGTGGAGATATGTAAGGGTAAGGAGGGTTCTCACCAGGGTAGGAGTTTTGATGGCTCAGAGCATGGAGGGTCTGGCAGACTGCAGAACAGGGAAGACGAAGCAAAAGCCAGCTGAGTGAATCAAGAGCTATGGTGGCAGGACCAGGATCTGTCCTCCTACATATGGCTCTCAAGACTCCCAGGGGTCCCTCAGGAAAAGCCTCCCCAGTTTTTGACCAACTGAGAGGGTCTCTGAAGAGGTCATAGTAAATCAGCCTGAAAAGGGAAAATAGGAGACATAATATTACCCCTTTCCCCTGCCACCTCAAATTTATCCTATCTTTGTGGCTCTATTTTTAAATTTTCGCTAATACCTTAAATATTGGAGCTTACGCTCTTGGACATGCAACCTAAGATTGAGAGCACAGACTTTAGCGTCCAATAGCCTAAGCTCCAAGCTTGGCTTTGCTACTTGTACAAAATCACCTAACTGGGAATTCTACCTACTGAGCTACTTTTACATTTGTTCTAAACTCTCCAATTGTACTGCCTCTGTCTTGAGTTAGACCTTGGTCACCTCACAGCATTATTCTCTTTAAAATTCATTAGAACAAGGGCTGGGGTTGTGGCTCAGTGGTAGAGCACTTGCTTAATATGTGCAAGGGCCTGGGTTCGATTCTCAGCATCACATAAAAATAAATAAAATAAAGGTATTGTTTCCAACTACAATTAAAAAATAAATATTAAAAAATTCTAAACAATGTTGTTCACTGTTCTATCTCCACTATATAGCAGCACACATGGTTTATAACTGGTACACAGTATGTATACACTGAACCTGGATTACTGC